GATAACTGATAGCTTTTCTGTGGTGCGTAACGCCTAGGGTGGTAGGGTGATCGTTTGTGCATTTGCTTTGCCGATGGAACGGTTTTCTTAATTATACACATTTGTGTGACGAACAGCAGGCGGGGAAAGTCCAATACTCACGAAGATCTGCTGTTCAGTGATAGAAACCGGCAACATAAGCCCCGGGACTTTGAGCGGGAAACTAAACAAGGCCCCGCTAGATTAGTGCTGAGATCACACACAGAATACAGGTAGTCATAGCGCTGCAACAGTCTTCAGAGTAAACAACGGTTTGGAAGTGGTTGCGCATGCTTCTCAGTAGAACTCCAAGCCCGATGAAATTTTAAAACCAAGCATTTAACAGATAAATAAAACTGCAGATACTACCCCACCCCACCACATGCACATGCAAACAGGTAGGACGTGAAAACGCTACATGTGAACACAAAACTGGCATTTTCTAGACGTGGAGAAAAATTAAACCATTGGGTTTCATTTTTAGAGTATCAAGCTTGGATTAACCCATTCGATTGTTCAGAGGCACCAGGAACTTGATGGTTTGATTCCTGACAGGGACGCAAAACGTATGCACTGTTGACGAATCCCAAACAAGACGAAACAGCTGTCCAGTACTTTTGTCGGTAATCACAAACAGTTCCATCGCATTAAAGTTCATCTTGAACTCACTTGTTTATTAAAAATCATTATATCCGTACGCGGTCCCGTTCCTCCGAATTCGCAAGGAAATGTATACATTGACCCCCAATCCACAGTTTTATTCTCCACGGTTTGTTTTATGAATGCCTTGACTAGAAGCGAACAAAAATAAGAAGTTAGTAATTAGTACTATTCGGTGCTGACCATCATTTGAATGCACTAAGACAAGGGATTAACAGAATGCAGAGGCAAGCATCATAATTTGAATCACTTGCCTGATATCCCAAAAACTCTATTCCTTTTTTTTGCATATTCATCCATTCCATATTACTGTCTGTCTATCTATATAATGTATCCATTGTATTCAACTACCTAAACTTCCTAATTCAGTCTTTTTAATATTAAATCCAGAGAACAGTGCAAATTAGCACTAATGGATATAATACGCCCGCGCACTTCGACAGTGATAAACAAAAAGAACAAAAAGAAAAATGTGCGTACAAAATGTTTAGCAGACCATAAAATGAATTCCACACAACTCACTAAGTGGTATGATGCTGTAAACATATCGCATGGGTTCAGAGTTGTCAGCGGAAAACAACACACAACGGTAGAAGATACTAGAGTCTTCCATTCGAACACGAACTGTGAGACTTCCATTTGGATTTAACTGCTGATATTCGGGGTTGGGGAACAAATCCTCATCATTTGTTTCCCATATACGCTCCCAAGTGCTATACTCTGGTAATCCGCAGGGCAAGAGCACCGTGTGATTAATGCGTCCTTCGATGTACGCCGTTTTCGACAAATTATAAGATCCAACTCCGCCGGCAGATAAAATAACTGAATGAGGAAAAATGACAAATAAAGACAAAAGTGGGTTATGCAGGGCAGCTGTAAATAAATATAATAAAGAAGTTTTAACGCTACATAAAGCGCGGAAGACAATTGCTTATTGAATGGTATTATCGCCGAGTTATGAACACTGGTATGAACACTAACACTCACTTTTCCACATCCGTTTGATTTTCTCATTGTTCTTTTTTGTTAATTATAGCATCGGTGATAGCAGTTAGAAGTAATCTTAAAAGCGAGCCCTGGGTGACTGTCTCCTTCCGGTAAAATGTTGCGTGTATTTGTAACTTACTGGCTTTTTCCTTTGAGGTAATAATGTCCTGTGAGAGGAAGAGGATTGGGAATTTAGTACAAGATATCCCAGCACCATTCGTGGCAGCATACTCTCCAGCTGCCCAGATGGGTAAGGGACTTCCTCAAGAAGTCCCATCAGGAGCTTTTGGCTATTTAAAACCTAACCCAAAAGGAGCTGCAGCCCCATGACTGCCGATGACCAAAGTGGTTCATACACCATGAAAGCAAACATACGCCGGATATTAGGAGACCCAGAGACAGACGAGTGGTATCGGGTTCATAAGCCGCGATAGAGTAGATTTATCATGTCCATGAATGTTGGATGGTGACAGGGTAGCTTTCGAATTTTACTCTTTTACCCTCATCTATTGTGTAAGGGGATGACCTTTTTCTGAAAGGATAATCAAATCGGCCGTTGTCAAGGTACCTTCATTAGGTTCACGCGGAGTTTTTAGAGAAACAGATAGTCAATCACAACAGTAGATTGTATTGTATTGTAAGTACGGCTTCTATGAGTGTAGCGACTGCATCTCACTCTAAAACGAACACAGTGGAAAATATCTAAGTCTAGAAACTTTTAGGAAAGTCTGAGAAAACCTGCTTTAATATAAACAGAATACATGACAAAGAGAGTACTTTAGAGTTACGATATATGCTTATGTGTGAGGGGACACACCGGCACTGGAATCTAGTTGACGGCTGGGAAATACAGGAAATTAAACATACGCAGTTCATGTGTTTTGTTTATTTCGTTTTTCCGTTTTTTTTAACGTGACCAATTAAAGAGAATTGACGAATGTGCTACTACACAAGAACAAAAAGAAATCTGTGGAATGTGTTCACAGGTTGTGTGGGCATGTTACTTCCCGATTGGCCTGACCGAAGAAGGGGGCTAGCCTCGGTGTCCCCACGCGAACTCTTTGGCTAGAAAGCCAGACCTGAAAGATAACAGGACGGAGCTCACAGTCCATTGTTGGCCGGTGTCCAGTTCATCGGATCATACACCCTCTAGACGGAGTCAAATGTCCAAGGTGTCCAATTGAGCCGGTGACCACTGCTACAACCGGGAAGTTGAGTTGTGGTTCGTTCACCTCCTCCTGGTTGGTTTGGAATCAGGGTTTTTGGCCAACTCCCATAGGTGAACTAACAGTGGCTCACCAACCCTGTTATAGCCCCGGATATTGGCTTTTCGTCCTCTCACTTTGTTGGAAAAATACCTCCGCCATGGGAAGGCAGTGAGTAGGGCTTCTTCGTCTTGTGATTGTCGCCATCTCTATTAAAAGACTTCCACTGCTGGAGTATGTTGCGTATGCGGGTTCAATGACTGCTCTGTCGTGTCATACTTGCGCATGCAAGCTAATTGCAGGCGTCACTGAGGTGGACCACAAATAACCTGGGCTCGAGAAATGAAGGCGTCAACTTCGAAAGTGGAAGTTGTAGGACGCTCAAGGCTCCTAGGCCGGGGTCCCAATTATGGTGGACATCCATGGTTCAAAACACCAGTCAATATGGCCCAAACCCGGCATCCACAGCGCATTCGTTCTGAAAATCGCTGATTTGGTGAGTCGGTGTGTAGCTTGTGAAAAGTAGATAGGTCGGAAATTAGCGGATGACTGGGGTCGTTAAGTACTTTATTGATGAAATTCTCACACGAAGTAACATGAAAATCGTAATTTTCTGATTAGTGTTTGTGGGAATAAGAGAAACATAGCTAACAATTACCAAACCTCGGCGAAGAGTAATGAAATCCCTTTTTAGTAGGTCAGGGGAAAATCATTACTTTTGTGTTCTATATCGTTCCCCCAATAGTGACGACTCCTCTATCTGTTATTTTATATCTTCCAACATTGAATACTTATTTGCAACCGACCCGGACTATCATGTTTCCATCTTGAGAGATCTTAACGTTCACAATCAGAACTGGTTGATACGATTATCTGCTACTGCTTCTTTGAGGCGCGAAGAAAAACGTCCCGCTATGGTCAACAACATGGTTGATCTCCTCACACGTGTCCTTGATCGATCTGGCGATCCTGCCCACGCCCTCGATCTTATTCCCACTTTGATCCCTTCTTTCTTCTTAGTTATTTGTACTCTCCCTTCTCTTGGTTCATCGGGTCACTGCATTGTTTCTTGCTCTACTAGGTGTACTAGCCCCGATCAGCCACCCATCTCGAAACACACATTCTGGTACTACAAATCAGCCAACTGGGACGGCTTCCGTGATTTCCTAGCTTTTTATCCCTGGAATAACTGTTGCTTCTCTTCGGACATTTCCAAATTTGTTTCAACTTCAGCAACATTGTTCTTCAAGGCATGCATCGTTTTATTTCGAACTTTTCCAAACCCGGCCAACCTAAACCCCCCGAGTAGTTCAACTATGCATGTGACCGTGCCGTACGCCTAAAACATTCAGCCTTCCGCCTCTGACGCCACTGGCCCACTCCCGAGTGCCACCATCGCTTCGCGAAAGCTAGGAACAATCAGAGAACCAAAGAACGCTTCACCCGCCGTATAGCCGAAAACCTGCTCTCATCCACCACCGATAGCCGAGCATTTTGGTCCCTTGCCAAAGCAAGTTCCCGTAATTTCTGCTCTTACAACTTCCCCATATCCGTAATTTCTCTAGTGATCTTGTATGTCAACCACACGAGAAACCTGAAATTTTCGCACCTTAGTTTACCTCCAACTGTGCCTTACTCAATTATCCTACTTCTCCATCCTCTTCTTACCTCACTGGCAACCCTTTTCTACCTAATTTTAGCAACAGGAAAATCCGTCAAATGTTGCACTCTCTAGACGCAAACACACCACATCGTCCGCAAAATATGTGCTCTCGAGCTGGCTATTATCTTACGTCGTCTTTTCAGTCTTTCACTCCAACTTTCTTCTTTCCCAACCCTTCAGAAACACACCGCCATTTCCCCCTCCGCAAACTCGGTGACCTTTCTGACCCCAACAATTACCAATCCCTAGCCCTCACATCTGTTCTCTCGAAAGTATGTGAAACCATCATGTCTGAACAACTACGAACGTTCCTCGAACGTGAAGGACCACCGGCGACTTGTTGGCTGTTGTCTCACAATCCTGGTCAGCAGCACTCAATAACCACGGAGAAACATAATTGGTCTCGCTTGACATATCAAAGAACTTCGACCAATTTTGACACGAAGGTCTACTGGCGAAACTTCCCATGATTGGGTTCTTTCCGGCCCTTGTAAAAGAACCACCTCCGTCCGAGTTGATGGGTTTCTATCTCGGTGTTCCCTTATGTTCAGCACTTGGATTCACCCTCTTTCTTTTATTTATCAATGATCTCCTTCCCAAAGATCCACCACGACGGGGACTATTTTACGAAGGTGTGATGGCCTGTGCACCTGACCCAACAAGCTGCACAAAATGGCTTTCTTCAAGCCAAGAGAACTCATCGTGCCTGGAAGGTCGAAGAGTAGAGGTCAGACGAAGTTCAGTCCCCTGGTCCAACAGGTTGGGGGCTCGACTGGAATTTGCGTTTCAGTCGGTAAAAAATGGTGGAGTAATCGAGTCAAGTAAATACGCCTCTACTTCACTTCATTCGCTGCCTTGAAGCTAGGTTCTTGTCAGAACGATAGGCTTTGGTTGAGAACCCTAACCGTCCTCCTGCTTATTGGCTGGTTTCAGTTAAGTTCAGTTTGAACAACCATTAACCATGCACTTTCGTGCGCCGGTTTTGGTTGCCCATTTGGATGAAGAATAGAAAGGAAGCTTGAAAGTGGATTCGAAAAGAAAATGGAGAAGTTCAGTGGACTAAGGTTGCAAAGAAAATGAGAAGATGCAAGAACGCCACTGTTTACGACACCCAGCCATATCGCTGAGTGTCTCTAACCATCGGTTACGATCATCCCGAGGTCCCCAGCCAGGGAGCCTAACAGGACCTATGTGACCCAGTTTCCTGGTTAGGGTTTTTATACCCTCGTGCCAGGTCTTAACTTGACCACCCTTGGCTTTTTTCCATTCGGTATCTGCTTCGGCGAACATCGCTCGCCGTGGTAACCTACCTGGTGACATGCGTAGCACATGTCCCAGCCAACGTAATCTGTGGAGGTCGATTACTTGCTCCAGTGGGCGACCGTATTTACCCAAAACTCTGCCTCTAACCTCAGCATTGCTCATCCGGCTACCCCACCAGATTCGTGCAATGCTGCGTAGACAGCGGTGTTCAAACACCGACAGTCTGTCTTTATCTTGTTTTCTTAATGGCCAAGTTTCTGCACCGTATAGCAGAATTGTCCGAACTGTCGCGGCATACACTCGACCCTTCACAGACAGCCGGATGTCGGGACGGCGCCACAGATGTCTCAGGTTGGCAAATGCCAACCGAGCCTTCTGTATGCGAGCTGACACTTCACTTATTGGCTGGACATCCTGGCAGTACCCGGTCATCAAACTCAAATGCATACACAAACAAAAAATAATTCCATACTGCATTGGTCGTCGCGCAGGATAATCAGGACCGCTTTGCCCATAGCATCGAGCGGGGTTGGTACTGATAAGTGGGCCAATGCTCAGATATCCCAACCTTTGTTTATTTTTTGTCTTCCGTACCCAGTCCTCTTCATTAGCCCCTTCTTCCGACCTGTAACAGCCCCTCAAGCAATTGGGATGTCGCTTGCCAAAGGCCGTTGCCAAATAGCACTGTAAATAATTAACCACGAAATAAATAGCAGATTTTGAAGCCTCGCCAATCACTGAATCTGGGAGCCTTCAACGTGAGGGCTCTGGTACAGGTAGGTCAACAAGCTTGTATGGCACGTGCAATGGAAGCCTTAGGATCGATATATGCTGCGGATCAGAGACTCGAATTCAGGATTCTACTACCATAAGCCACTT